GATGCTGGTACTGTGGATGAGAAACTGGTCAAATATTCAAGAGAAAGATCTATAGAAGGTTACTACGTAAAAGAGTCATGTCAAGCTTGTGTGACTCATGAGCTGAAAATAGGTGTGTAAGCGTAGGAGAGCACCCAGAGGAAGTATACTTGCCCTGTTCTTATTCTTCCTTGGGCAGCTGCTTTTGATCACTGCTGTAGAAAGAAAACTGGGCTGGGGGGACCTTGGGTCTGAGGTGGTAGAGTTGTTTGTTGGGAACGCAGGCAGCTACTCAACAGGCAGCTACGTGACATGCTAACCTGAGGAGCTGAACGACACCCGAGCTGGCTTTAAATGAGCTACCTCAGATGCCAGGAGCAGCCTGTCCTCTGGCTGCACGGAGAGCTCATCCTCTCGGTGGCATCAATTAGCCTGTGCTGAGTTTCTGGCTGTCATCACTGGGATGTTCCCAGTACTAAGCTGGCTTACAGAAAAATATTGCCGTGCTACACTACTATTTGCTGTGTGGGCATACCCACTGGCGATGTGGGCATGGTGGTGCACCAGTTATTTTGGTGGAGTCTACAAATAGGAAGTTGCTAAATTCTCAAGAGCAAGGAAAAAAAAAAAAGGATTCCAGCTTCAACTCTGTTTGTTTCTATTTTCTGTGTATTCACTTCAGAGCTTTAATAACTTTCTGAGTTTCAGCTCTAGTGCACTTGGCTTGGGGTCTGAAAATCATTAGGTGGTTTGGTTTTTGGTTTTTCTTTGGTTCATGCATCACTGTCAGAAATAGTAAAGACATGCAGGCAGAACTGATGCTGTACTGATAGACTCCAGTGTATTCTCTTTTAACTGTGATGGCTTTGAAGATCTAATAGCACTGAAAATTAGTAAATAACTATTTTTATCTCTGAAGTCACCAGTTCTGACTCAGTGTCCACTAACGAAATGAACTTTGAGTAACAGGATTTTTAAAAAATATTGTCACTCTTTATCTTAACTACACTTTAAAAAGGAATGATGTCTATTATGGAAATGAAAATATTATATTGGTGTCATTACAAACTAATGAAGAATGTTACTAAGTGCTTATGTAAATTAATATTATTGCACATTTTAATCATGTGATTCTCGGGGTCTCCAGTTGGGGGCACTGGGCAAACATGGAAACATGGCAGCGGCACATGGCAGTGGCCGGCATGAATGAGGATTGTGCCTAATCCAGTAAAAACAAACCCGCAAAAGCGGATGCGAGATACAGTTGTCATTCTGGATTTAGGAATTTTGTAAGAGGAAGTAGATTTCAAAACACTTTTGCGACTAACAAACAATTGTTCTGTTTTATTTTCATTACCATAAATCATCTGGTTTCTTTTGTAAGACTTAAGAATCATTGGTTTTAAAGCCATCCCCTTAATCAATAACCTCAAATTCTAATGAGCCCAGGTAGAACAATTATTGTAAATTTAAATTTGTTACCATTCAGTTTCATTAAACATTTCCAGCCTAGCATAAATCCCTGGCTCTAGCTACCTTTAATACTGCTATTTATTCATTTACATCAAAGGAAGAGCTAGAAAGAAGTAGAAGATGCTCCTTATTAATGTACAGTGTAAAGCTCAGCATGCTGGAAGGTCTGCATGGGCCTGTACACACACAGATTTAGCATCTATAATAAGACTTAAGGAGAAGATACAACATATTATTTTGTTCAAGGAATATCAGTTATGCTATTAGGAATATGTCATAGAGATCAGTGGTGGTTTCATGGTTTCAACTCATACCATTTAAAGAAAACATAAAATACTGGTTCAGGAAATCACAATCCTACTTTTGTTGATAAATTTTTCTAAACTGGTGATTTATAAATTTACCAAATTAAAAGTGAATTGGGTATTCAAAAGTAAAATTTGATAGCAGCTGTAGGAGACTGCATGAAAGGGTGGATATAGGTATTGGGACTGCACATCTGTAAGTGGATGTACTAATGAGGAAAGTAAACATTCAGCACTGCCAGACTCATAGTAGCCTAGATCTTCCTTCCAACTGGTATTTTTAACTGGATTTTGCAATAGTGCAATGGATTTCCTGGTCCCTGGAGCTCCTGGCCTTCTATCTGACCTCTGTATTACAAGTTATGACTGCTTGCAAAGGATTGAAGCCAAAAGCTTTCATCCACATCACCGGCTGTCAAAACACAGGGACTTCTGTCTGGGTGTAGATACTTAATTTTGGAAAGGCAGGATAGAACATTTTGTTCATCTTTTCTCATGCTTCTCCACGTGCACACACCAACACACAGACACACGGAGGAACAAACCAAAGCCCTGAGCATCCTATACTTCTTTAGTATCTTCTGTGTAACCATAGAAAGCTACCTACAAAAATAAAAGCTTCACAGCAGCAAAAACATTAAACCCATTAGGTAATCAGAAAGCTGAAATCACTATCAGCTGGTCAGTTGCAAGGTTAGGAACGGTTCAGGAGTTCTAATTTCTAGTGCTTTAATCTAAGCTCGAGGCCACGAATAAGAAAATAGCCTGGAATTCATTATCAACCTTGCAATTAACAAAACTTTGTTTATACCTTGAAGCAGTGAACAGTACCAATTTAACTTTATAACACTCTTCTTGTTGCAAACCTATAAAATGTGTTCAGTTTTTAGTGTCTTAGTGTTAAGAAAACGAAGTTGCTCCTGGATCTTGAAACTCAGAATGAACTAAAAGACACGTGAATATATATATATTAATTATTTTTTATTAAAGTATCAAAACAAACTTGAGAATAGAAAACAAACTGCTTTTAATGCATTTTAAATGTTCTTCTGAATAAAGTATACCTTTAGAAAACCCATGCAACATACTGCTCCTGTCTAGCTGTTTTAAACACTCTTTTTTTTCTGGGCACAGTCACATGAACTTGAGTACCATCATTTCTAGAGTAGTGTGCAGGAGCACGCATGCACACACACACACACATACAAGCAGTAGAAAGCAGCTATCACTGCACATGAAAAGAAATAAAAATAGATAATCTTCTTGACAATAGTAGTGGTACCATATTAACATTTGGCATGCTAAGTAAAAAACATCAAGCAACAAAAGCACGACGCCTGCGTCACCAGTGATACGGTTAAAAGCAACCATACAAATTCCCTAAGGGAGACACATGAATTCTGTCGCTATATTCTAGTCTCTGTGGTAACACTTTATAACAGTATAGGAGGCAAACACTGTTGTCTGAGGGGATTTGACGCGCAAAAGGCAAAGCCAAGGCATACAGTACCGGGATGATGCCTTGTTTTTTCATTTCCATATCACAGAAGTCAAATAGCAATGAATATTGTTTCACAAGTTTATTGCAATACCTTTCATGTATATCCATTCTCTAATCATCAGCTGGCCCAATTCCCTGTGGAACCTGCCTTCTAAGTCAGGGAAGTTGCAGCAGAGGCTCCAAACTCTGCTGACAGGGCATGAATAAAACTCCCATTGAGTGGGAGATCCTTCCAACATACAGAAAGTCAATGGATTCTCAGGACAGAATTAGACCTTGTATGTCATTTCTGTAATACATTAACTTTTCAGATACATGAAGTACATATCTTTAAAATGTGATATAGGACATTACAATATATCCAGATCTTAGGAAAATGTACTAAGAAGTTCTGTTGCAGAATATAACGGTCATTTAAGGGTTAGGTATGATATCTGATAGACTCATCCAGGACTTGCAGGGTAAGAAGCTTATGGCTGAGGTATCTTTAAGTTTAGCCTTTACAACAAAAACACAATTTCAATACTGTGTAACTGGTGTAAAATATTATGTACTGTAAGCTCCATTCTTATTGTCTGCTTCACTTAAGTTATGACATTGAGCAGCTAGACACCACTGACTGAGGTACAGAATTTTGGAAGGTACAATCTCTGCACCTAATCATTCAAGATAGTCAGTGCCTCATCTGTGGAAAAGATGAAGGATAAGTGTTTTCAATAGTGGTGCCTCAATTACAACTGGTGAAGTTTAGGAATATATAATATTAAACACCAAGAGATAAAAGTAAAAAGACAGCGCAACACTTGTGTTTTCAATTTTATCTTGCTTGCAGTATTTATTAACTACTCATTATGATATTAGTGATAAATAAGGATAATATTTTCTTTTACAAAAAATTGTAAGGGTATATTTTATAGGATTAAACAATCTAAGAATTTCACAGAAACATCAGAATTTAAACACTCATAGCTCTAACTCTTTCGTCCAGCAGCTCTTCTAACAGTTCAAAACCATCTAAGGTTAGTATTTAATAAAAAATAAAAACAAGTATTCACTACATCAAAACTCTTGCCCCCTTTGGATTTTAAGTAACACTTTTGATTGACTGTAGTTGTCACTCAAGTGTAAAATAAAAGTAGCTGCAATCATAACTCTTCCCTCTGAATCACCTGGCAAAAGGAAACAGTCCTGACCAGGATGGAAAAAGCTTTGTCAAGCTCTTATGCCTGTAAGAGCTATCTGCATAAGCAGACCCCCTGGAGTCCATGGAACCTCTTCTGTGAGTGAGGTTAATAGCATGAATTAAGGCTTATAGGATATTTTTTTAAAAAAACTTTTTAAAATTCATGAGCCTGAGATTCTGTCTTGCAGTTCTTTAATTGGGCAAAACCTGTATCAATATCCCTCCATTGTTAATTTCCTTTTTCCAGTGGGTCGAATTCACTGAGTCACCAAGTGGTGGTACAAGCTGCTCTTCAGCAGTTCAAGGAAAAATTGTAGTCCCCAAAGCATAGTAGGTGGGGTTCGAGCTCATAAAATACAAACTTAGCTACGTGGACATTCTGCAAGAAACATTTCTTTGTTGCACCTACTAGGCTTTTCAAATTCAGTCTCTGAGATGAGTCATAGAAAAACCCACACAAGTGTTGTGAAAAAAAAAAAAAAAAATTACAAAGCTTAGTTGAAACTAAAGACTTTTTGTGTGTTTGTGTGTGTGTGTGTGTGTGTGTGTTAGGTTACCTTGCAACATTACATATCAGTACATTCTGCCAGAAACTATCCTCCTGGAAACTTCAAAACCTTAAAAATACTCTGTCTGCTTTCCAAACCTCTTTCTGCTTTCCCTTCCAGCAGCAAGGAAAAGTAGTGTCCATCCAGCACAGCTGTCTGTACCACGTGCATCATCGAAGTCATAGTGTTCTAGCACAAACGTCGTGAGTGCAGATACTGTATACTAGCAGAGAGCTAAAACTTCTGTAGCTGTTGTCTGTAGCTCCTAGGAACAGCAAGTATGACAGGTGCAAAACCTATATTTGAGGCAGAAGACTCTTCCATTTGATTGAGACCAGATCTTCCAAAGGGAAGAATCGCTGTCAAGCCAAAGTTATTCTTTCCGCTTAAGAAAGCAATCTGCCCTTCCTAAAGGCTCTTGACTAATAGAATCCTACACATTTTGTCAGATCCTCCTGGATTCTGGTAGCTGTTAAAAACACTGTAAATATTTCCATGTTTGCCATATCACTTAACCTTGTAATGTGCCTTCTTTGATCTGTTGAATAAAAAGATTCCTTTCATCTTCAGGTGTCCTTCCGTTTTGTGCCCGAACTATACAAGTGGGCCTGTGCAGATTTAGCATGTATATCAAATGCTGCTTCTCATTCTTTAGCTCTTCGATCTGGGCTTTTAATTCTGCATTGATTGTTTCCAGCTTTTCGGATTCCTAGTCACAAAGGACAGACACAACTATTAGACCGAGTAGTTCAAATACTTAATTGCAATGTTTATTTGATAGTTAGTCTTTTATTGGGAAAGCATATGGCTAGTAGAGAAAGAAATTGCATGATCTTAGTGTTCTGTACTGGTAAAACTGTACATCCCCCAATCATTAATAGTAAAAAAAAAACCTAAAAACACCCACAAATAAAAAAACCCCAAACATGTTGACAGTTACCTTCTGAACTGAGTGTAACAGAAGTTGAAAGGCCAAATTCAGATATATATTGACTTACAAGAGCAGGCATCCAAAGTGCTGATGCTACCTTCTGCAAAATTATTCTGAACTTTTTGGGTCAAAAATGTACCGAAAACTATCTATGCTTCTTCCCTGGAACATCATGTCACATATCTGTAAACCCACGTTAAGCTAACAAAGTAAGGACATAGCTTTCCCCCCGACCCCTGGACAGAGCAACAAAGACAGGTCTGATGCTGCTGTAATATAGTTTTCTATCATACCGAGCAGGTGAAGGCACTGCTGGGGTCTTAGGACAGAGAATTCAGGGCTAAGCTGCAATGCCACTTGTTTCATAAAGAACTCAGAGGTTACTTGTCCATGTTTGTAGGCTCTTGGTCTCCACAATGGATGTTATATGAAATGAGATTTTACTTCTTTGTGTTCAATGTACACAGTCAAACTCTTATTATCGCATGGACAAGATTGGTCACTGAAACAGTAATCTCTTTTCACTCCTACCATGCTTTTACTTTTTTTCAGTTTCAACCAGGTTTGATTTAATATGTAGCATGTTCATTTTTTAATAACTAGTGTTTTGACAAGTTGACAGAGCTTTTTGGGTGACATCTTTCTCTATTTCCAACTATGACAGTGCCTCTGTGGGGTCTATTCAGATACTGGCAGGATGACAGATTAAGAACAATTCAAGCCAGTCACTTACTTTCTGCAAACATTCTGTTTTTTCCTTCTTTTTGTTTCGACACTTTGCAGCAGCAATTTTGTTCCTTTCCCTTCTTCGCTTTTTTCTCTCATCCTCTTCGGGAGAAAACTATTCCATAAGAACAGATACACACAATCCATAAGATGTTGTAAATACTCGACCTGTATTTTGGTAACTTCTACATTTTTAAAAGCAACAGTGCTCACGTCATGAGTGACACAAGGATGCGATTCTGATGCCATACAGTAAAACGGTAGTAACTCCATTAGAACTGTCAATAAAAAACTGACTGGAGTTTGGATGGATGTGATCCATGTGATGGCTCGTTTTGAATCAACGGTGCTAATAAAACTTGCCAAGCATCTCCTCAGGCTTGACTCACACACCTCCATTTCCCAAGGAGGAAAAGGAGCAAGGGGCACAGGAAACAGAGCGGATGATGTGGCCTGAATGAGGCAGTGGGAGTGCAGCAAACTAAAGGCAACACCGACGCATTCCTGTGTGACCTACTGTAGGTGATCCTGCTCTGGCAGGGGGGTTGGACTGGATGATCTTTTGAGGTCCCTTCCAATCCCTAACATTCTGTGATTAACAAGTTCCTTCAGGCTTTGTCTTGTTTCCTGTGGAGGCTTGGACCAAGGCATAGCTATTTCCCTAACTTAAGCTATTTCTCCACTTCATAAGAGAAATGGTTTTCACAGAGACTACTATCTTAAAGTAAAAAAACCTTGTGTGGACATAGCACTTCCATGTCTACCTCAGTGTAGCCCACAAGGGTCCTACTGCACTGTCCTCACTGAAGCAAAGCTGCAGTGACTTATTCCAAATTCAGCCACACGTAGGCAGGGAAACCAGATCAGTGCTTGCTCTGATTGCTGTAAAACACTGTCCTTAGTTCATACGCAAAAGTAAAACAGCCAGCTATAGGCCTCAGTGGAAATCAGCAATACCAGAGGGTTTCCCAGAGCACTTGAACAGAAAGCCAAGCAGCTGGTTTAAAAGGATCAAATATGGTGGTGAGGGTTGTCTGCAGTTGACATAATTACTGGTCTTGTGGTGAAACTTTGTTAGAGAATTGATCATTCATGCCGAAATGCTATTTAAAGAGCCATACCTCTGTTTTCATGATTGATGCTTCAATTGGCCTTTCAGAAACTGTCACCGTGTCCAATGTAGAAGACATCCTGTGGGACTGACGCTTATTCTGAATGGCAAACCTCAGTTCCTCTTTCACCAGTGGGGTTAAATTTGTGAAATCATCAAACCCCAGTGACCCTGCAGGGGACAAAGTGGGAACAATTGCGGAGGCGCTGACTTCTAATGCAGATACCTGGCCTGAGTGTTGGACCATCATTTTGCTGAAAGGTAAAAAGAGATAATAATAATAGTCTTTCAACAACTTTAGAATGGCAAATAATATCTCCTAGAGGTATATTGTATAACATGAAATAATACTGTGTTTCTTGCCTTGCTTCAGTATGCATTCCCCATCTACCCCAATCTCTCACTAGAGTCAAGCACTTAAGAATTTGGTGACTAGTAAAAACTTCTACTTCAGGTAAACTTCAAGTTGGTATTTAAAAATAATAATAGTATTAGCACATCACACAATATCTAGGTCTTTATGAAACTTAAGGGAAAAAAAAGTGTATATGTATGTATACTTTGAAGTTTTAAACTGGTAATTTGTGGCAAATGGGAACTGAATGAATAGGAAGAAAAAGAATGAGTAACAAAAATCAGAAAGCAAAGAAATATTATTATTTAAAGCACAGAAGGAGTTCAAGAGTATCTTCATCCTTAGAGCTATACAATCACAAAATTCCAGCTTCAAATGGACAGAGTGTACCTTGATCTCAACTACCTTTAGGCAAAGCTCAGAGAGTTCTACTAGAAGCTGAAGTTTGCTGACCAAGACAGGATCTGTTACAAAATTATTATGCTCAGTTTTACAGAGTTGTAGCTCTGACTATAAACTCCTGAAAAACAGTTCATAATAAGAGTCGGCACAAAGGTAAAAGTCTATACACACTCTGGGGCTTCAAAGCATGGGCTGAGTTGGAGGGATTGAGTCATGAAAAACGTGAAGCCGTTTGTTTCATTCCTTTGCTCTTTTAAAATCTGAAACTGTCCTCATGTGCCCTGAACAAGAGGGCTGAAATTCTTAAATATTTATGGTCAGATCTTCTGCTGATATAAAACAGTGTGACTGAAGAGACTTCAGGGGAATTATGCAAATGGACACCCGTGGAAGAACTTAATTTCTAGTAGTTTTCCTAAGAAAATGAACCTACACAGCAGTGGTCTCTACTTTCCTCTTTTGGGTCATTCTTCTTAATTTTTTAGCCAGTTTTGGAGGGAGAGAGGCCCCCTATGTACTTTGTGAAAATTGGTGACCCCACTGAGGGAGAAGGAGATAAAACTCAGCATTCAGCCATCCAAACCTTGTAGGCAACCTAGCTAGCTGGTGCACACAGCTCTGCACAACACAAACCACCCAGAAGAGGTGAGATGAGAGGTCTGGAAGAAAGCTGAGTGCTATTTGTGGGTGGCCCAAGGGACCAAAGGTGCAAATACATGGGAACACAGACTGTACTACTTCCCTTAGTCATAAAGTGACTTCTGTTAAATTGGATTTTACCATGTGGTTTTCCAGCTTTCTTTGACATGTAGGTTTTGGTATTTTGGTTTTTTGGTTTTTTTATAGCTGTTTGTGTAATTACAGTATGTGTTACCTACTCTTGATTACTCTGTAATAATTATAGCAAAGTCAATTGTAATTAACTTAGTGCAGGTAAGCAAATAGTTGCCTCGAGGCAGCAGTGTGGGTAAGTTAAATTTCCACGTGGTCAACCCAGAATCACACAGTTCCCCATACGCTACTTCTGTGACCCGGCAAGAAATGTTTGAGGTTGCGTGCCTGGACAAGAAGATAGATTTTGTTCAGGGATATCTAAAAATACACTGTAGATCTATACTGGTGCACATCAGAGTAGAATCTGGTTCATCACTAAGTGAGGTAAATACAAAGATGTGAGGACAACGAATTGCCAGTTGGTAGAAAATGCCATGTCCAGCTGCAGAGACTTCCTCACTTCTTCCTCACCCAGTGAGCACAGAAGAGCTGAAGATTTCCCAGTCTGAGGGTGAAATCCTGAACCCACTGAAATTAAGAGGACTTTTTCTGTTGACCTCAATGGGGCCAGGATTTCACCCGTAGTTATTAAAGATGAGGAAATTATTTGGAACAATTTGTTATTCAGAAAGACCTTGGGAAATTTATGTAATTCTCTTCAGAAAGCCCCTGCTCATGAGTCACATTTAAAGTACTGATACGGTTTAATCCTATAATCTCAGAAAGCTAGCAGTTACTCTTTTCCAACAAGTCAGAAACAGCCCTATAATTTCCAGCTGAAGTCCTCCCGGCATTATTTACCATTTAGCAACATTCAACCATTCAACTAATTTAAATGGGCTGATTCCAGATGACACTGAACCCCTCATTTCTAGCAGAAATTTCAGCGATTTTCACTGAATCAGTCTCCATGGCTGCCAGTGATGGATTCATTCAACAAAGTTAATTGTGTATAATTCTGTATAACTCAATCAAACTGGGAGTCTTAATTTAACAGTAAAACTATTTCTCCAGCCTACAAAATAATTAATTGGGCTAATCATTTTTAAGCTCTGGTGGTTTATTAAATTATTTTTCAGTTTAGGTGAACTTTTAATTAAGGTCAGCAGCGGCACCGGAGGAAACCAAGAATGTTTGTGCCTGAGAAATTGTGTCAGTTGTGGATTTCTATTAGTCAGTGCTGAGTGTACCATGAGCACCAACAAAACCCTGCTATAATGTCCTCAGGTACTCTCATCTGACTGTCTTTAGGGTAAAAAATTAAATAAATAAATAAATGGGAGGTTGCCCACAGGGAGGGGAAGCACAGAGGGGGAAGTGTCCTTGACTTGCTGCTCTCCTGCCTAAGCAGCTCACTGACCTTCCAGACATCCTGAAAGGCATCTCTATTTATTCAGACTTTAGGGAAGGGAGGGCCTACCAGGGGGCTGAGGCTTGTGTAAGGATTTCTGCTGGGAGATGAGTCCCATTTTGCAGAGCTGTTTGCCACTGGTTTGCTTTCCTGAGACTCTTTCTTGGGGCAGGGCTTCTGGACAGTGCCTAGGAGGGTAGGCTTCCAGTCTACTGCGGGGATCCTTAGGAGCCCCCATGAAACAAATAACAAAAATAATCAGCCTTATGTCAAATGTACTCAGGAAGCTGAATAGATTCCCTTTTCTTAACAACAAGGTAGATGCTTTACCATTTCTGAGGAACAAATCTGCTTTTAGAAATCTTTCACAGGAATGAAGGTTAGATTTTGCTATTGAAAAATATGCAACAGGTTGCCCTGCCTTTTTCCCCAGTTTTTGTACCTCTGCCTCTAAGCCATCAAGAGCACTATCTCATTTTCTCTGGGTTTGTAAAGGCTGGGGAAACTGTAGGAATAAGAATATCAGGCCTTAAAGCGTGATTACATCTGGGCCTTTCTGATACGATCTCTGTTTACTTTGTTAGCCCATGCCTGCGGATCTCGGTTCCAGGCTGGTTTGAGTCCTTCTGAAGTTACTGACATCTGAGGTGCTGAACATTTCACAGAGCTGCTCCGGAAAGGCACAGCTTGTTCCCAGTGTGAGTTAATGCTTCATTACTTTATCCTTAGTTTTGGAATTCTCCAGAGAGAACAGCATTTCTGTTAATGGTACCCTCCCAATTCAGGGAGTTTCAAACAACTTTATCCATTTGTTCTCCTCCTACTTTTTGTTTGTTCTTTTGCTGATGATTCTTTCCATCTACAGTGAACTTTCACATCTCATCTGCCAATATTTTAATTTCAGGACATACTTCCTAGCTGTGCATTTCTATTATTTAAGGGTTTTCCTGTTTAATATTAATATTACAAAGGGCTACTTTCAGTCTTGTCTTTTTAGCTTAGCTGCAGATGTCTGACTGTGCCTCTCGGTTTTATTTCTTCATATGAATTCCTTTTCCTCTGGTGCTGATGCAATAAACCCCGATAACCATTGAGGTTAATCTTGAACAGCATTAAGAGCAATTACAGTTCACAACCTCTGTGCACGCTGGTTGACCTTAAGCTTTCTGACATCCCACATCATTCCCGAGCCATTTTCTGCTGCCTTGCAGCTTCTCAAATGCTGTTACCAGGAGGAAAATTGATTTCCTACAGGACACTCGTTCTCTGAAACAAGTTAGCTGTTGTGTCACGCCTGACTTGATTAGGCAACAGTTTAGCAACTGATATTCTTCACGTCAAGACGCGGGGACAGAAAGGAAAGCGAGTGTCCCTGGCTCACACCGAGAGCTCCCGCTCGGCTGATGTGTAGGTAGTGGAGATGTACACACAGGGCGGCGGGGGGTTACTCG